TCTGGGGCTAGGAAGTCAGTAAGGAAGCTGTCTCAATCTTCCCAGAGGAAAAGAACAGGTCTAGGATGGAGGTTGAGAGAGTGAAGAGAAGTGAGTGGGCATAGAAGCAAGAGGAAGGCTGTTGAAGACATCCTGGCTGACTGGGAAAGAGAAACATAAGAAAGAATGGGGTAGGCCTGGGTAATTTGTGTGTTATTGGATCCCTATAGGAAACTTGGCACTGTGTGGCCCCCTTCAGAACATTTCACTGGTGTCCAATGTTGACTTGGTCTCCATTTCTTGGTTGAAGGCCTTTCCTCTTCAGGCTTGCCAAACCCCATGTCCTTGTGAGGCCACAAAAGAGAAGGCCATTCTCTAGCTACATCCTTAGAACTGCTGAAAGAAATAGTTTGGTTGGTCTCCACCCTCGTTTATACTTAGCTTGGCTCACTTCCATGTTTCACGTGTTCATACCCTTGACCTACGGTTGTTATCATTTCCTAATTGTCCAGTCATCTGTTGACTTAGTAACTTTATTCAACTCCTTGTGTTACCTGTTGGTCGATCCTTGCTACTCGGCTAGTCCATGATGTTCTCCTTGTTTGACTTTCAGGGTCTTATATGGGTCAGTGGATGCGTCTAGTAGAAGTTTGTCCTAAGTGCATTTTAACCTTCTGTTCATTTTCCCAAAGGTCAGATTCTGAAAGGAATCTGTAACTCAAAAATAGTTAGGAACTCTAGGGAATCCTGAAAAGACAAGTAAAATTAGGTCCTAAATACCTGCCCTGTGACCATAGCAGTAGAAAGGCAACAAATAGGAGAGTATACCTGGGCTTTGGATGCAGAGTGGTTTGAGTTTGAATCCTCTTCCTATATCATTCACAAACTTTGACATTTGGCAGATTACTTAATCTCTAGTCCCAGTTTTCTCATGTGCAGATTGTGGATAACAATACTTAGAGCGCTGTTGTGAGGATTGGAGGCAGTGTATCTACTGAACTTGGTTGATGGCCAGTTCTCAATAAATGTAACCTTTAATAATGATAATATAGTGGAATATGAGGCAGTGGTATTTGTAGAAAACAGAAGTAATGCAAATATATCTATTTTCCCATTCTTTTATAAGCAAAAATTCTTATTATTTTTCTCTTTATAAAGTTATACATCTTGTTATAGAAAATTGAGGAAATACAGGCAAATAAAAAGAACAGAATGGTTACCACCCAGAGAAACATTTTGATGTACATCCTTCTTTTCTAATCATATAAATATGTTCATAATGTAACTGTGACTATGTAATCTTGTATTTTATTCATTTAATAACATATGCAAACATCTTTCTGTGCCATTAAATATTCTTCTTTAATGGCCTCATAGACTTCTGTTGGGTGACTGAATCATAACTTGTCTAATGTATTTCTAGCTGTTGGTTATTTAGGCTCTTTCTAATTTTTTGGTATTCTCAATGAATATTTTTGTGGTGAAATCTTTGCATACTTGCCTGGTTATCTTCTTACCTTGTTATTAAAAAACTTGACCTGAAAGACAGAACAACTTCATTACTAATCTTTGAAGATTTTCCTTGGCTATCCCAAAATACGAAAGTTTAAGTAAAAGTTTAAGTAAAGAAGTAGTGGGAAAGTCAATATTTTAATGCAAAGATCATGTTCTATTTTGAATGACCGTCTCCCATAGCACCTGACACATACCTGTGAAGGAACAAATCTGGAACTCTGGGGCTTGTGATTGCTGAGACAAGTCAAATAACAGATTACTTTCTGTACCTAAATATTTGTAGGAAAAGTGAATTATGCTTTTTTACCCTGGTTAAGAGTCACATGTCTTTTCTTTCTCCAGATTAAATGTTCTCTGTTCCAAGCCCCCATCCCACAGTGCTGGCAAGATATTAATCTGGATAATTATTGTGACTGCTGCCCACCCCAGGTTCATGTGAAAGTCTGTCAGTCTAACTCAGGGCAGCCAGGGAACAGCCCTCTGGCCTTCCGTTCACCCTGATACCATAAATGTGGCCCTCTTTCCGTTTGGTATGGCCCCTGAAAGGCCCACAATTCTCCTCTTCCCAGGGGCTCAAAGGTCCTCCAGCCTCCCAGGGCAACCCATGTGGGAGGATTTCCTGCCTGCCCAGGGTAGAGAAAGGTCTAGATCCTTGCCACTCAAGTGTCCTACAAGGCCAAGCCCACATCAACCTTAGGGAGGCTTTCAAAAATCTCCTTTCCCCCAATGACTTGGCTCTCCATTCTTTCCTTGTCTGGGACAGTTCAGCACAATTTCCCTCAAAGGTCCAAAGAGGGAGGGGATCTCTTCTTGAGCCTGAGAATGGTTACTTCCTGTCCTGCTGCACAGTGGCCCTGAGAGGTAAGTGATCAAAAGACCAAGCCCCTTCTAAGGAGTGGGGATAGGGAGCAGAAGGAAAACATCCATAATAGTTCAAAGCACCCTTTGTAATATTAAAAGAATGGAAACAACATAAATGTCCCTCAATGCTTAAATAAATGACAGTATACCCAAACACTGGAATACTATTCAGCTGCTGTGACCAAAGATAGCCATAATATTTCCCATCCCAGGGATGCCTGGGTGGCTCAGTGGTTGAGTGTCTGCTTTTGGCTCAGGGCATCATCCTGGGGTCCGGGATCAAGTCCCACATCGGGCTCCTTGTGGGGAGCCTGCTTCTCCCTCTGCCTATGTCTCTGCCTCTCTCTGTGCTTGTCTCTCATGAATAAATAAAATCTTAAAAAAAATATTTCCCATCCCACATCCTTCTTATAATGTGACTTTGACACCTCTCCCATGGAGATTTGCGGTCTACTGCCCTACCCTTGAAATTAGTTAGGCTCGCTTGCTCCTTCCTTCCTTCCTTCCTTCCTTCCTTCCTTCCTTCCTTCCTTCCTTCCCTCCCTCCTTCTTTTCTTCTTTCTTTCTTTCTTTCTTTCTTTCTTTCTTTCTTTCTTTCTTTCTTTCTTTCTTTCTTTCGGCTCCATGCCTACAGAAAGCATGGAGCCCAATGTAGGGCTTGAACTCAAGACCCTGAGATCAAGATCTGAGCTTAACCAACTGAACCACATAGTCAGCACCCCTTGGTCAGGCTTTTATGATTTTCAACCTACTCAGTGCAATAGAAGTGAAGCTATGAGCCTTTCAAGGCTGGAAGGCTGGATTGTAAAAGGCTTATCCAGTGTCCTCTTTGGTGGAACACTGGCTCTAGAAGCCTTTAGCTGTCATTTAAACAGAGACTTCTCTGAGACTGCCATAGTGTGAGGAAGCCCAAACTGGCCCACACAGAGCCACAAGGAGAGGCCCAGACAGCCTTCAGCTTGATCCCTATGCCCTGTCCCCAACCTGGCCACTTTCTGACTATAGGTCTATGAGACACCACCCAGTCAAGCTCTTAGCAAATTCCTGACCCACAGAAACTGCAAATTAGCAAAATGATGAGCCACTAAAAGTTTTGGAATGATTCGTTATTCAGCGGTAGATAGCCAGAAAGCAGCTCTTTATGCACTGATATGGAACAGTCTTCAATGTATAATATTAATTTTTTAAAAGTGTAAAATAGCGTATATTGTCCCTTCTATTTAAAAAGAAATAGTTTTGTATATGCATAGATCACTGGTTTGCCAATCCTGTGTTGGCATTAGAATCTCCTGGGTTTTTTTTTTTTTAAATATATCAATGCCTGAGCTCAGGCATTCTACTTGAATTCGAACATAATATCTGGGAATGGGACCCAAACATTGTTATCTTTTAAAAGTTCTCTAAGAGAGGGACACCTGGCTGACCCAGTGGTTGAGCATCTGCCTTTGGTTCAGGTTGTGATCCTGGGGTCCTGGGGTCCTGGGTTCTAGTCCCACATCATGCTTCCCACAGGGAGCCTGCTTCTCCCTCTGCCTATTTCTCTAACTCTTTCCATGTTTCTCATGAATAAATAAATATAATCTTAAAAATAAAAAAGTTCTCCAGGAGATTCTGATGTATAGCCAGGATTGAGAACTGCTGGTATAGAATAACCGGAAGCTAACACAGGAAACCGGTGCTGTGTTTGACTCCAGAAGGAACAATGGGGTAAGAATGGATAGTGTGGGAGACTTACTTTTCATCCTAAACTCTTTGATCTATTGAATTTATTTACTTATACATGTTACCCATTTTCAAGAACAATCACTTTTTTAAAAAAGTAAAGTTAACCCATAGCAGTGAAAATAAATCAGAATAGCAAATCGGGAATAGCCTATTCAATAATGGGAGTCAGTCTGGGGCCCACTATAGCAAGGCCTCCGAGCAAGTGACCTGTACTACCTGGGAAGTGTGACTGGTCAGAAAGTGCTGCAGAGGTAAATCCTGACGTGGCCTCTCACCTGAAATGACTTACTTGTTGACCCACAACACCCTCAGTTTAGTTACACTTTGGAAAGCAGTTTAGGACAGAGTAATGGCTATAATACGTGACCCTCCAGCTGCCAGCACCTCTGTGAACCCTGAGACCAACAGGAGGAAAATATCCAGGCTTACATGGGAGGGGTAAACAGATCTGGGTTCTGGCTGGCTGGGGCAGCTGACCTCCTGTTATTGAGGAAAAGCAGAATAGCAAGGATTTGGTAATCTGTTTTGCCTCTTAGATTCCTGCAGGGACCTAAGCATTGACAAGGATAAGGTAGGAATGGCAGACCAAAGTCCGCTTCCAGGGGCCCTGGGCATGTGTGTGAAGGGAGGCACAGAGGCCCACTGCATTAAGTTACAGTTGGAGATGCTGAACTGGGAAGGAGAGAGGCACCAATGACTTGCCTAAACTTCCTCTCTAGCACCTTCCCCTTGCATTAGGTCATAGCACCTGTTCTTGTGTCTTGGCATCTGGCAGTTCCAAAATCCATCTCTATCCCACCTCAAAATCCACTACTTACCAGTTGTGTGATCTCTTAAATAACTTAATATTCGGACCATCAGTTTCCTCATCCATAATGTGGATTAAAAAGTATGGAATAAGAGAAAGAAAACCATAGCCATTATTAAATTATTAAATAGACGCCAGTTTTTATTGGTGTCTATTACATGCAAGGATGCAAGGTGGATTCTTACATTTGACCAAAATAGTGGGTGTGGTGGTTAAAAGTGGGCTTTGCAGTCAGATGTAACTGAGTTAAAATCATATCTATGTCACTTATTAGCTGGGACCTTGGGCAAGTCACCTAACACCTCTGAGTCTCATTTCCTCACCTACAGGACCTTCTCGAAAGTGGCTATAAGGATTAAATAAAATAAATGGAAAGAGTTTTGTGCATCCAGAAATATACATCCAGAAATCAGCATCTGTTGCCATTGTATGTTTTGTAGCCTACAGGGAGTCGGCAAAGTACCTTACATTCGTTGTTTTACTTGACCCTCTCCAGGACTTGGAAGGAGGGGTACATTAGGTGTGAGTTGGCAGGCCGGGAGCAATCAACTAACTATATTGGAGACATGAGAACACTCATCATGCCTATTGACTTAACCCTGGTTACAAGGGACAGCAAGAGGAGTAGAATCCAGGTGTTCTGATTCCCAATACGGCTTGTGACTTCTGGAAGCTCTGGATCTGATGGTTGATGGAAACATGAGGATCATCTCTAGACAAGAAATGGAGTTACTTAAAATTACTGTGACGAGGTTCACTGGAAAGGGAAAGAAAGGAAGTGAACCACTTTTCTTCTTTCGCAGCTGTTCTTGACCTTCCACTCAAGGCTACTGGCACCCGCCCTCCCACCCTGGAGGCTATCAACAGGAGGAAGAAAAGAATAAACACGAATTCGGTATCAGAGAGCGCCCAGCTAGGGGGCAGATCATTAAAGCAGGATGACACCGTAGGATGTGACTGGCAGGATACATACGTGGGCCTCGCTGGGGGGGGGGGGGGGAGGGGGGGGGAGGGAGCTCCAACTTTTAGCCCAGACCTGAGACAAGAAAGAAACCAGGCATTAAGCAGCAGTGTTCCCGAGTCCCAAAGGAGAACAAGCTTGGCGGGCAAAGGAGGCCAGATGCGTGGAGAGCAGAGAGGGAAAGACGGATACCTAGCGAGGAGAAAGGTGCCAGGGCGGGCCCAGAGCATTCAGGGCCTCAAAAGAATAGGGAGGAATTTGATTTTGATTAACAAATGTCAAGAAAAGCCTCTTGAGGATCTTAAAAGAGGCTGGAATCTCATCTCATATTTATCCTTATATTTTTATTCACATCTGAAAAGGCAACTCCGGCTCTTGGGACCTTCAGTGGAGAGTGGGTTACCCTGGGGGCAAAGCGCCTAACTTCCCATCTGACCTTTCCCCATCCTGGGCCTTCAGGCCCCGTCTGCAGAGCGGAGGCGGGAGGGAAGTGGGTCCCAAGGAGTCGGGGACAAGGACCTTGCCCCGCGCAAACGCACACCACTTAACAGCTCGAGACAGAGAGCTTCCGGGTCTCCGCCGACGGGTCTCTTTTCCTCCCCACGCGTCCAGAGTTAAGGTGCAGAGCGGGTGACACGTCCCCGCGAGCGCGAGCGCGAGCGCGAGCGCGGAGGAGGCCTATGCCTAAGATTCGGGAACTCCTGGCTCCGCGGCTCACGACAGCCAATGGGGAGGAGGAGAGCAGCCAGGGGGCGGGACCCCCGCGGGCCGGGCCGCGCCATTGGCTGGCGGCCGCGTCGCTCGCCCGCGGGGCCACGTGACCGCCACCTCGCGAGCGGTCGTCCCGGCTGGGTGTTCCGCGCCTCTCGGCGGGTGCGCCGGGCGCTCCCCGCGGTGCCGCCCGGCCGGGCCCCGCCTTCCTCGGGGCCGGGCGATGGGCGGGGAAGGGGACGGGCAGGTTAAAGCGAGGCCGGCCCCTCACCGGGCTACCGCTGCCCGCGCCGTCGTGTCCCCTCGCTCCCGCCACGGCGGAGGACGCGCCGCGGGGCCTCGTCGCGCCGGGAGGCCCAGGACCGACAGGTGAGAAGGGAGGGACAGTGCCGGCCCCGCGCCGGCAGCGGCGCCCCTGGGGGCATCCTGGCCCGCGTCCGAGGGCCGTGGCGGGAAGCGCGGGCGTCGCGGGTGGGCGTGCGTCGGGGATGTACCCGCGGGCGGCGGGGGCGGCGGCTGGGGCGGAGCCCGGGTCTCCCGCCCCGGCTCCCCGCTCCCCGGGCCTCTACCCCGCCCCCCGCTCCGCGCCCCCCGCCCCGCGCCCCTCGCCCCCCGCGGATGACGGTGCTGTTCTTCTGCCGGAGTCTTCCGTCCAGCCGTCTTGAACCCAGATAACCGGGAGAAAGACCGAGGAGACTGGAGCCACCAGCTCCACCCAGCCTCCCGCCTTTGGACAGATGGGGAGACTGAGAGGCTCGGACACGCGAGAGGACTTCATTATCTTGGCTTTTAAAACCACATACCTGGTTAGGTACAAACGGGCAACTGTACTTCTTGCAGTCTCGTGTAGGCCAAATTGGAATTCTTTCGCTGGGTAAGATGGAGAGACGCTGGAAGGACCCAGAGAAGGCCAGATCCTTGCCTGATGTTACACAGCAAGTCATTTGCCGAGATGGAACTTGCTCCCAGCTCCCCCAAACTCAGACTATCAGGCTGGGCCCCTTCCTTTGCACAGATTGGGGGACCACGTGAGTTAGAAGCATACAGGACTTAAAACTTTCTGGCACCCTAGTACCGTTTTTCCACCTCCACCCCCTCCTTATCTCTAGGGACTTTTATGTAAAATCTGGAACTCGTGTGAGATCCAGTATTGGCTTAAGCAGAAGTTCTTGTTTTTGAAAATCAAGCAAGATTGCTTCTCGGCCTTTTGGGTACGACCAAGTGAAAATCGAGTTAGAAATGGAGAGCCAATCCTGTTGGAAGAAATGAGCACATTTTTTTTTTTTTCCTTTTAAGAATCTCAAAGGACAGACTTAGTAGCTTTCTTATTGAACAAATACTATATGCCAGGCACTGCACTAAGTACCCATGTTAGCTTTATACAACCTGCAAGTCAGATAATATTATCCCCATTTTACAGGTGAGAAATTGATGTTGAGTAAAATGGGACTTTTACACCAATGCCATACAGCTGTTGGATAGTGTAGCTGGGATCTGAATAGAGATTTGTCTGATTCCAGTATATACCCAGTGATTCTCTTATGGACGTCACCTCACTGGCTCTGAGTCACCCAGGGTGCCCACTTGCATCTCATTCCTGAATTTGCCTGAGAATCTGAATTTTAACAGATCTCTGCATTTGAATATCATTGTACTATAATATGCTGCCTCCCAGGGGAAGATCTAGAGTTAACATAGGGCTTTGGAGAGGTTTAGACTAGATTTATGAGGGGTGAGCATTTTGAACATTGACATTACTTTTAGTGAGCGTAAACCCCCAAGCAGATGCTTACCAAACTGTAATTTCTTGATGTAGCTTAGTTATGGTGTATGGAGGCGGAAAGACAGGGTTCACTCCTTTCTCTTTACTCCATAGCTGTTAACCTATCATCCATTCACTCGACAAATGTTTAAGCACTTACTAGGTGCTGTATATATGGTTCAAGGCACAGGAGATACAGCTGTGAACAAAACTGCAAGTTCCTGCCCCATGAGAGAGAAACTATAAATAAGTGAATGAATGAATGTGAATGTATATAGTGCAAGACAGTGAGAAGGGCCATGGAGATAGATAGATAGATAGATAGATAGATAGATAGATAGATAGATAGATAGATAGATAGATGTATATAGTGTGAGACAGTGAGAAGGGCCATGGAAAAAAATAAAGCTAAGTAAGGAGAGGTGTGGGGATAGGAATGCAGGGCAGAGATGGGCCCAGGAGGGAGGCATGGTGTTGGTAGTGGTGCTGTTTTCTAAGTTGTGTCTGAGAAGGGACCAATTAGGGCAGTATTTGAGCAGAAACCTAAAAGAAGCAAGAGGCAAAGCCATGAACCTAGCCCCGAGCAGCATTCCAGTTAGAGCCAGCAAAAGTAGATGGAGGGAGGAACCTGCTTGGCTTGTTTGACTCTTGGCTGGGATATGAATTTGAACCCAAAGTGTAGTTACAGAGGTAAATTTTACATTGTTCCTCCTGATAGAAAAGGTAAATGAAAATGTTACCAATGCATATGTGTTCATATGAAAGATAAAAGTAATTTCACTCTTATTCCTTTACCACACCTGCTTCAATAACGTTGTGTAAACTGCTTCAGGCAGTTTGTTACCTTGACTTATTAAAATTAATAAGATTCAGAAATGAGTTGAGCACTTGACCGCGAAATATTGATTTGAGCTAGCCTTAAAACTTCTTAGCAAGGAAACGAATTTAGGGGTGAGTGGTATTTTAGAAAGAGAGGGAGCCTTGGAAATTGGAAAATGAAGGTTGAGAATCTGGTCCTGCTAGTTGAGCAAGTGACTGAAGGAAAGGATTCATAATCTGTTCTCAGATTTATTCAGGAGGCAGTTGGGAAATGTATATAAAATCTTTTTGAAAGCAGTGAATTACTGTGAAGGAACTATTAAATAATTCGATTGTGGTTTTACATTGTTATTTTCCTCTTGGGTATTTTACTTTTCTGTCTTACATTGGGCTTTATACCAGAAATGATATGTCATAGTGCTTGTACTACTGTATAAGCCTTATGGTGGTTCTTCTTTTTGAATCACAGACATAAAAGAACATTGTTGATTATTTGTGATGACTGGAAAATAGAGACTTTTTTGTCTTCATTCAAATTACTTGAAACTTCACCTGTTTGTCCATTTCAATAAATATAGGTATACCACCTACACACCAATAGAGGCATTGTGTCAGGTGTTGGGTTATGTAGGAACGAGGATGCCTTTAAATGTATACTCTAGTTTGAAAGACATGGAACCTTAAGTGCTAAAGGATTATATGGAATATGTCAGGGCAGCATAGCCACAGAAGTTTTAACCTCTTTGTCCTGTGGCATTTGAGGTAAACCTTAAAGGATTAGGAAAAGGACCAAGATCGATGGAGATAGAAGGGAAAGGCATTCCAGATGAACGAACAACATGAGCAAAGACCCAGAGAAACAAAGTGTGTGTAATATTTTCGTGGATTGGTGACTAGAACAGTAGTGCATGAAAGGAAGCAAAAGAAAGGCAAATTCAGCTCATTGATAGAAGCCTGTACTAAACTTTTTAGACTGTATGCAGGAGGAGGTGGGGAGACATTGCAGGTTTTGAAGGGTGTATCCAAATGGTTTGATCTCATGTTGTTATTGAATGCTTCTTTTGGAAAAAGAGGCAGCATAGCATGGTGGTTAAAAAAACATTGGTTCGGGGATCCCTGGGTGGCTCAGCAGTTTAGCGCCTGCCTTTGGTCCAGGGCATGATTCTGGAGTCCCAGGATCGAGTTCCTCATTAGGTTCCCTGAATGGAGCCTGCTTCTCCCTCTGCCTGTGTCTCTGCTTCTCTCTCTCTCTCTCTCTCATGTAAATAAATAAAATAAATAAGTAAATAAGTAATAATAAGTAAATAAAAAATAATAAAAATAATAAAAAATAAAATATAAATAAAATAAATAAATAATAAATAATAACATAAAAATAAATAAAAATAATAAAAATAAATAAATAAGTAAATAAATCTAAATAAAAAAGTTAGTTCCATTAAGTGTTTAAGGCTGAAATATGTCTGTAATTTTCAAGTTGTTGAATGGAAAAACCCCAAACAAGTACGTTTGGAGAGTGCAAAAGTGCAGATGTAGCAAAACATTAACAATTGATAATTGTTAAATTGTGTAATAGGTGAATTGTGAATATACCAGTGTTCCATGTATCATTCTTTTAACTTTTCTGAAGATTTGAAAAGTTTCAAAATAAGCAATCCAGAGACGGAGTAGGTGTGAATCAGACAGGCTTTGGTTCCAGTCACTATTCCAATGCTTATAAGCAGCATGGGTACTGGAAAATTATTTCCAAACTACACAGTCCACGCCAATTACAGCCTAGTTTAGTTGAGATTTTTCCACTTAAGAGAGTCTTTTGGCAGAGGACTTGTTCACATTAATATTAGGTTAATGTTAAAACTTCAAGTTTTCCAAAAACTTTAGATCTAGGTTACTATATATAGTTGTTATTTATTTCCCCTTTTCTGCTTTTGGGTTATTCAATATTTTCTGTGATTTCATTTTATCTCCTATGTTGGTTTTTTAGCCATAACTCTGTGTTATTAAGGGAATTGCACTAGAATTTATAGTAGGAATCCCGAATTTATCATAGCCTATCTTCAGTGATACTGTACCGTTTTGTGTCTAGCATAATACTGTACTTCTAATACTATGCTTCCTCTCCTCCTACTTTTGTTTATGTTAATATATATTAAACATAAAATTGGCCATTTAGCCATTTTATTTTTTTTAATTTTATGTATTTATTCATGAGAGATGCAGAGAGAGAGAGAGGCAGAGACATAGGCAGAGGGAGAAGCAGGCTCCATGGAGCCTGATGTAGGACTTGATCCCAGGACTCCAGGATCACGCTCTGAGCCAAAGGCAGATGCTTAACTGCCAATCCACCCAGGTGTCCCATTTAACCATTTTAAATTTACAGTTCAGTGCATCAAGTACAGTTCACAATGTTGTATAACTATCTGCAGTCGATATTTTTAAAACTTAAAATAGAGACTGTAACTATTAAGCAAGAAATCATTCTATGTAGTTCCTGGTAATCTCTAATCTGTTTTCTGTCTATAAATTTGCCTGTTGTAGATATTTCATATAGGCGGAATCATATGGTGTTTGTCCTTTTGTGTCTGGTTTCTTTTGCTTAGCATAACAGGTTCAGAGTTCATCCATGATGTAGATGAGGAGTATCAGAACTACATTCATTTTTAGTGGCTAAACAATATGGCTTGTACCAGTTGTATCTATCCACTCATCTATGGGTGGATACTTAAGTTGTTTCTACCTTTTGGGTGTTGTGAGTAATGCTGTTATGAACAGTGGCATATAAGTATTT